GGCCGTCGTTGAGTTGGACGGGCGGCACATCCTCCAACAAGCCGGCAGAACAACAAAGTTCCGCCGGCAGCGTCGGCGTGGATGAATCTGTGAACGTCACGTGGGCAGATCATTGGATGTCGTGGTAGTTGGAGAACGCTGAGAAGCCCACGGCCCAGTTCACGGTCGTGGGCTCATCCAACTTGATCGGAACGTCGAACGTGGTAGTTGCGGCAAGCGGACGTTCATAGGTAAATGTGAAGTCGCCTTTATGCGGTGCCGACGACGCGGCATGACGACGCTGGATGCGCTTCGTAATGCACACCGAGAGGCACAGCATCCTCCAAAACATAGAGTGAGGAGGACGCATTGTGGGTTGTGAACAGAATGGCGTTGTTAGGTTGCTAGTTGATCATGCTGCTCGATTTGGCAATGGCCAGAGCAAACCATGTTGCATTGGGCTGGTTCGTAAGCGACACTCGAATGCGGACCGAGTTGTTGTGGACGGCGCTGCGGAGGTAGACTGGGCTGGCGGTGCCCAGCGGTGTCCATGCAACTGTTGCGAGATGCATGGATAAGCACGCAGCCGATGTCGTCGCGGGGCAGCCGCGCTTCAGACCGAAATGAGCGCTGTGCAGACCCCATCCACTCGGACGTCGAAGCCCTTTGCCACGTTTGAGGTGGGGTGTCGAGAGGCGAATGATTTTCAAGGATACATGAGATTGCTTTCCTATAGAATGCACTCCCTTACTCTCAAATCGTATCGTTAGACTCTGGAACGGCACTGGCAGCTCACGCTGTCCAGACATCAGCCTTAGTATCGTGCTCAATACCACTTCAACGGCATCTTCATGTGTCGTAGGCACCTAGTGGAAGTCCCGCGGAACAACTCTTCGATCGTCAGCTTTGACGCTGCGGTCACCGAGGAGGGCTCACGAGGCATGTTCGATTTATGATGGTGTTGAATCTGCTTAGCTATTTTTTCCAATGGGATCGAGTTATTGCGCTATGTGGATGATATATTGATGACCGACATTGCCACATATTGTGTGAAAATATTTCATCCAATCATTGCACTTCCTGTTGTCGGTCGTCCAATCCCCTGGTCAAAATTTGTCTGTTAGACGTCGGAAGTCATGTACTGTACATGTACGTATATGCCGAACCTGCACTCGTACGTCGCTGTTCTTAAGAGCCTGGTCTGTGAAAAATTGTTCCTGCTTTTGGCCATTCCTGCTTTGTACGGATAAATGTTATTCGGATCGTGCCCAA